AAAGCAATACTATAAGGTCTCTATGATTAATATGCATTACAATAGTAGGGTCGTGGGTTCGAACCCTATATATTAATGACTTATGAAAGTAAGGTCTATGATACAAAAGCAATACTATAAGGTCTCTATGATTAATATGCATTACAATAGTAGGGTCGTGGGTTCGAATCCTATATATGAATGACTTATGAAAGTAAGGTCTATGATACAAAAGCAATACTATAGAAGGTCTCCATGATGAATATGCATTACAATAGTAGGGTCGTGGGTTCGAACCCTATATATTAATGACTTATGAAAGTAAGGTCTATGATATAAAAGCAATACTATAGAAGGTCTCTATGATTAATATGCATTACAATAGTAGGGTCGTGGGTTCGAACCCTATATATTAATGACTTATGAAAGTAAGGTCTATGATACAAAAGCAATACTATAGAAGGTCTCTATGATAAATATGCATTACAATAGTAGGGTTGTGGGTTCGAACCCTATATATGAATGACTTATGAAAGTAAGGTCTATGATACAAAAGCAATATTATAGAAGGTCTCCTTGATGCATAAGCATTGTATGGAGTAGTCGGGTGACCGACTGCTCCTAGTACTGTAGCAAAATAACTAGTCCTTATTAGGGACTTGAAAAGGAATATTATGGTGGCGTGTGTACTGCTTCACGAGCAATTGGTCCGAGGTAAACTTGGACTCGCTAACCGATGTGTCCTAGACATATCGTCTTAGTGCTGGTGGTAAGCGGGTTTGTTGTAGCAATACGGCTTTCCCGTGGACATCGCACACCCATACCGTTTGTGGGCGACGTCGTAGCGCATAGCGATGCGTCGTCTATCTTTCGGATTGGGATGAGAGTGGTTGGTAGCACTTTTAAGTGTAACAGGCATATTCAACTTCATGTCTTAGTGCATCAGCGCTATGATACGTGGAGATTTGTTCATTGGCGTCTTAGTAGCGTACTACTATGATACGTTGGTGATATTTTTTATATAACAACAATAAAAACTTTGTTACCAAAATCGATAGGGGTCATGTGGGTGTGTTGTGAGGGTGCGCCATCCGTATGATAGTTGCATTGATGCTTATTGCTCCTTGCGGTATTGCGTCTTGTGATGGATCTGCGGGTGTGCTGCGCCTGATTCGACGCATTCTTGTGGTTCTGGTCGATGGAGGTAAACAAATAACACCTTAGTGCCGGTGGTAAGCGGGTTTGTTGTAGCAATACGGCTTTCCCGTGGACATCGCACACCCATACCGTTTGTGGGCGACGTCGTAGCGCATAGCGATGCGTCGTCTATCTTTCGGATTGGGATGATGAGTGTGTTTGGTAGTACTTTAAGTGTAACAGGCATATTCAACTTCATGTCTTAGTGCATCAGCGCTATGATACGTGGAGTTTTGTTCATTGGCGTCTTAGTAGCGTACTACTATGATACGTTGGTGATATTTTTTATATAACAACAATAAAAACTTTGTTACCAAAATCGATAGGGGTCATGTGGGTGTGTTGTGAGGGTGCGCCATCCGTACGATAGTTGCATTGATGCTTATTGCTCCTTGCGGTATTGCGTCTTGTGATGGATCTGCGGGTGTGCTGCGCCTGATTCGACGCATTCTTGTGGTTCTGGTCGATGGAGGTAAACAAATAACATCTTAGTGCCGGTGGTAAGCGGGTTTGTTGTAGCAATACGGCTTTCCCGTGGACATCGCACACCCATACCGTTTGTGGGCGACGTCGTAGCGCATAGCGATGCGTCGTCTATCTTTCGGATTGGGATGATGAGTGTGTTTGGTAGTACTTTAAGTGTAACAGGCATACTCAACTTCATGTCTTAGTGCATTAGCGCTATGATACGTGGAATTTTGTTCATTGGCGTCTTAGTAGCGTGCTACTATGATAGGTTGGTGATATTTTTTATATAACAACAATACAAACTTTGTTACCAAAGTCGATAGGGATCATGTGGGTGTGTTGTGAAGGGGCGCCATCCGTATGATAGTTGCATTGATGCTTATTGCTCTTTGCGGTATTGCGTCTTGTGATGGATCTGCGGGTGTGCTACGCCTGATTCGACGCTCTCTTGTGGTTCTGGTCGATGGAGGTATGCGGGTGGTGATGTCTGCTAGGATGTATGGGGGACCTTGGGATGATGTAAGCCCGACGATGGCCGTATTGATACTTGTTGCGTTCTGCAGCATTGCGTCTCTGCGATGGTTGTTTGGTGGGACGCTATTCTCAATGGCGCTCTCTGCGTCTTGGATTGACTCACGCCTGAGTCGCTTTGCCCAAGTCGGGTCCCTTCATTACGGGGCTGCAGACTGTCTGCCCTCCACGATGTTTTATATAACAACATAATATTATATCTCTGTAACTTTCCCACCATTGAATGATTGAAGGCAACTTGTCGGTGGGTGAGACAAACATGATCGAAAATGCATTTACTCAACGTCAGTGACACAAACCCTTTCTGATGGCGAATTATTACTCTTATCTTATAACTGCCTTTTGGCTATATCTGCCGTTGTATTGGTTGGTGGAGCATATGTGTCGACCTCATGCGGGTGGTAGCTGGCGGGAGGATCTGAGGAGACTCTCAAGGCTGCGGCCGAAAGCCGCACAACGTGGACCCCCATTCCCTTGAGGTGAGCGGTAGACTCATGACACGCTCTGCGGCTAGTAGCCGTGCTGATGGTGCAATTGGTGGTGATGCCATACACTTACATCACGTCTGCAGGAGCGGCGGTCTGGCATGTGGTGGCACTCACGGAGGGTTTACGGCCAGTGTGCCTATTTGCCTAAACCTTGTGACGTACATTCACTGTGGCTGGATTCGTTCGTATTCTGTTTAGCGTTTACACGCATTGACATGCGCGACTTCGGTCGATGTTTGTGCTTACGCACTAGCAAGGGGCCAAGCCTCTTTTACTGGTTCGCCAGTTATTTGGCTGTGAACTACGGTCGAGTTCCCGAATTAGCTTTCCCTTCAGGGGGAGTGCATCAAAATGGTTGGCGCTCACCGTGCACGGCGTGTATAGGGCCATGTGCCTCCCCTACATTTTTTTTAAATAAATGTAGGAGAGCGAAGCCCTTTTATTGGGTATTTTGTATAAATATATTTTGAGCCTCTTCCGAGCGGGAAGGGATAATTAATAACAAATTTATAATGTAAACCTGATACAAGTGGAATAAGGACGTTTTATGTTCTTAACCTTTCTCGAGCCCTGTCTTCGTGAACGGGGTTCACTTAGCTTATAAGGCACTACCAACAGCTCTCAATTGCTCTAGTGAATATTCATTCTTCCAAAAGACACCTAAAAGAACTAAGTTACTAAACAAACACAACGTAAATAAGGGTCCTAACTAAGACGATCACACCAAAATATTACAAACGGCCTATTATTAAACCTTTAGAAAGATCATTTAGAAAGATCAAAACATATTTATCCTGGTCACATATATATAATTTTTAATATAATATATTTAGTATTTAATATATTTATTATTATGAGAGGGGGGAAGCGTTACAGTACCATACATCAATCGACTATCTTAAGATCGCCTCACCACAACACAGAGATAGCGACAACATAAATCATGTATCCAAGCAAAGTAACTTGTTCATCAAGCAAGTTACAATGCCACTGACGCATCTACCTATATACTGTGAAGCCTCAACGACAACCATGCGACCATACCTACCAGAAGAATGTCGTCGCGAAGTCTTTAATACACTGCACAACATCAGTCATCCAGGTGTTAGAACAACAAGAAAACTCATCACTGAAAAATTCTTTTGGCCTTCATTTCAAGTGGATGTTGGCAACTGGGCGAAGCAATACTTTCAATGCCAAAAATGCAAAGTACAAAGGCATACATTAAGTAGCCTAGCTACATTTCCACCCACGGAGAGATTCGAACACCTGCACGTTGACACCGTTGGACCATTACCTACTTCACTGCAAGGACATCGTTACCTCGTAACAATGATCGACAGAACAACAAGATGGCCCGAAGCAATACCTACCGATGATACTTCAGCCGAATCCGTCGCGAAGATAATTTATGAAAATTGGATTACTCGTTTCGGATCACCTAAAACATCACAACGTATCAAGGAAGAAACTTCGAAAGCAACCTATTCCTTAAACTTCTTCAAACTATGGGAATACAGAAGACACGTACAACAGCATACCATCATCAATCAAGAATAATCGAACGATGGCATCGTACATTGAAGACCGCACTCAAAACTCGTTTATCTCAACATACAAAGTGGATTGATGAGCTACCTACAGTGCTACTCGGACTACGAGCAACACCGCGTGCAGACACTAGTCTTAGTACCGCTCAGCTAACCTACGGCTGCAGCATAAGACTACCGTGTGACTTCTGCACTTCAGCATCGTCAAACAATCAAGAAATGGATTACGATTTTGTAACTCAACTTCGAGAATCAATCATCAAAGCCTTTTCGTCGAAATGCACATCATCACACGGAAATAATAAATCAGTATTCATTCATCAAGATTTGAAAACATCCAAGGAAGATTTTGTAAGAAACGGCTCAGTGAAAAAACAATTTCAACCTACCTACGATGGACCATATAAAGTATTAGAGCGAAATAGCAAGGCTTTTAAATTACAAATACCCGGAAGGAAATCTACAATCATATCGATCGACCGACTAAAGCCTGCCTATATTATTAACGAGGATAGTTCAGAGGATTCATCATCATCACAACCACCAGCGAGGAAGTTTGAAAATCCGTCATCTACACAACCCAGTTCAAACTATTTTAAAAATTACGAGACACGGGCGAGTCGTCAAGCCTCCGGTACGCTTTCGCTAGGGAGAGAGTGATATAGCAGCCAGGCTAATTGGCAATAAATAATAAAATAATATACCCTGCTGCTACCATAACACAGAAGGCGAAGAATACATTTATTTCCTAAGGCGAAGAAAACATTTATTTCCTAACTATCCCCGGCTACTGAGATACTGCGGGCTGCATATTGAAGCGATATAATTTGACGTATATATTTAACGTTCTAATAAAGAATTGGTATTTGAAAAGGACGAAGAGAGAACGAAATGTGAAATATGGGTAAATCAGGAATGTCTAGAACAGGTAAATGAAATTGTATACTTGGGGAGTGCTTTCAGCCGGGATGGAAGATGTGATTTAGATGTGGATAGGCGTGTCGCTGCCGGAAACAAAGTCAATGGTGCCCTGAATGCATTAGTAAAAAGGCAAGGCGTGGGGAAGAGTGCACGCCTTGCACTATATAACGTAGTGTTGGTACCGACTTTGTTATATGGCAGCGATACCTGGGTATGCCAGAAGAAGCATAAAAGCAAGTTGAATGCAGTGGAGATGCCATCTCTTCGTAAAATGTGTGGCGTTACCATAGCCAATCGAAAGCGAAACGAAGAGATTCGCAATATGGCAGGATTGAAAGATGACCTTATCACAAAAATTGATAGGGGCGTACTCCAATGGTTTTTTTTTTTGTTTAAAGATCTTTATTTACTCATTAAGACTAATGTCACTTACATGAGTACATTCATACAATTTAAAATAAATCACACAGAACAATATAATAAAATAGTAGACATATATTAGGGTAGATCAAAATTAGATATATAGAAGTTGCAAGTTAACTGCGTAAGAGCGATGTTTCAAGTATTGATAATATAAGACGGTGGTCCAAGTTATAAAATGTCTTGTTTTTTAAAGTGGTCTAATAATTTTTTCTTGAAAATATTGAGTGAACTTGCATCTTTTATAGTTGAAGGGAGTTTATTATACAACTGTGCACCCGCAAATGTTACGGCATTTTTTCCATAATTAGTGCGAATATTTGGTAGTACAAGATGGTTTGCGCGGCGTGATGAGTATTTTAGCGTTTCTCCTTTTGTGATGAATGTTATATTTGAATGGATCATATTGTGTTTGATTTTATATATTAATATACATGTGTTATAGATGCATAATTGTTTGATGTTTAGTAATTTCGTCTCATGGTATATTGTTTTGGTCGAAGTTAAAAAGTCGTAATGATATAAAATTTTTATTAATTTATTTTGCAGTACTTGTACCTTTTGTAGCAAAGTTTTAGCTGCTGTACCCCATATCTCTATTAAGTAAATTAAGTGTGGTTTAACCAATGCGTTATAGATCAAAGGGCGAGCTTTCGGTGGTATACATCGAGCTATGCCATATGTAGAACCTATTAGAGATGAAAGCTTATTTTTTATAATTGATAAATGACCGTTCCATGACAGATGTTTATCAAGCAATAGCCCAAGGTATTTTTCTTGATTAGACTGGCGTAATATTTCTCCGTTAATGTGTAATTTTGTGTGGTGTTGAATTTTTTTGTTTTTTGCACTAAATATTACGTAAGATGTTTTGGCGGTATTTATTGTTAATAGGTTGTACTGGAACCATCTGTGTAGTGTGTTGAGATCTTGTTGAGCAAGCGTAGTAAGGTCATTTATATTCTGTCCAAAGTAGAATAAACATGTGTCGTCTGCATACAGAGTGAGATGGCCGTGTAAGTCTAATTCACAAATATTGTTAACATACACTAAAAACAATAGCAGGCCAAGAATCGAACCTTGTGGTACTCCACAATTTATAGGTAAGGAGTTACTTTGATAATTTCCAATACTTACAATCTGGTATCTATTTTCAGTGTAAGATTTTAACATCTGGAGTGCCATGTCAGTTACACCAATACTTTCTAACTTTTTCAGTAGCAACGAGTGACTCACTGTGTCAAAGGCCTTTTTTAGGTCAATGAACACACCTAGTGCAAGCTGCTTTTGATCATTTATTTTAGTGACTAAGTCAATAGCTGCACTGAGAGTATTTGATTTTGATCGGAAGCCGTATTATTGATCACACAAAAAATTTATTTTAGTCAAGTGGTCATTCAGTCGTTTGTAGATTACTTTCTCCAAGATTTTTGAAAGTACTGGCAAAACCGACACAGGCCGGTAGTTTCCTGGGTCTGTCTTTATACCAGATTTATAGATCGGACTGATCTTAGCTATTTTTAAACTATCTGGGAATATACCTTGTACTAGTAATTTATTAAGACAGTCAGTGAGATTGGGAATAATAAGATATTTAATACACTTAATTGCTTTTGTACTAATGGAGTCAATGCCTGTATTAGTGTTAGTTTCTAAACCATAGATAATATTAGCTATCTCATTTTTATCACATTGTTTGAAGACTGCAAGTTTGATTTGACTTGTATCCGATTTTAGTTTTGGCAATGTATATGTATCGTTGTTATGATAATTGGGCATTATTTTGTTTGCCAGTTGCGTACCAATATTTGAGAAAAACTTATTGAACAACTCACAGATAGCCACAGGGTCTTTATTAACTAAGCCGTTATCTGATTTAAGATTTGGGGGAACACAGCTTACAATAGGTTTATTTTTAGAAAGTATATTTATCAGTTTCCACATCTTTAGGTTTAGGTTTACTTTTACATTTTTCAAACTCTCCATAGTAATATCTGCTTTTCGAAGTCTTGATAAGTCTCGCCACTTTTGTCTTTTCATTAGTATATTCTGATTTCAGTTCATTATTTTCTGGGTTCTGCTTTAGTTTACTCGACAGTTGATTCCTCTTTTTGATCCCCATTATGATTTCTTTACTAACCCATTCTTTCTGAGGTTGATTGATAATTTTATATTTTATTTCTTTACTTTCTGATAAATTTTTCTTTATAAATTCTTCTAGAGTTCCAAAATTACGGTCTTCATTTTCAAGCTCATGTTCTCTGGTGCGCTTGTATAAAATTTCATAGTTAGTAGCTTCGTATCGTAACTTTTGCATTCGTGGTGGTTTCACTTTTTTCATTTCTACATAGATATTTTTATGGTCTGATAAAGAAGATTCAATGATAGCAATATGAAATTTTTGGTTATTAAAATTTGTAGCAACATGATCAATAATAGTTCTCGAAGTTGGTGACACACCCATTTTACTTCCCTTTTTATGTACGGGAAGTACTCGTGCAACCTTAAGCTGATCAGGCAACAGAGATTGTTCCACACACTTATTGAAAAGATAAGCTAAAGATTCAGCCAATATATCAATATTGTCTTTAATAATCTTGATGGGTATTTCATCATAACCATGTGATCTTTTATTTTCCATTTCCTTAACTGTTTTTAAAATTTCATGGCTAGTTATAATCTTAAAAGGCATGTCTGTTACAATTTTCTGCACACTTTGTTTGAGAATTAATTGTGCGGAGTTTGTATCACTAGCGTTGTTGCTTAATGAATTAGTTTCACTAAAATGACTTGAAAAAACATTTGCTACATCCTGTTTATTACTTACGATGTTATTGTTTAACTTTAGTAGTATATTCTCTTCTTTTTTACGAAACGAATTTTTCCTACTTCCATTTACAATATTCCAGATTTCTTTAATAGAATTTAACGCCGACTCAATTTTTCTTTGTATAGCTATTTGTTTTGCTTTTCTCAATATTCTTCTATGTATCTGCATATATAACCTTTTATATTTATCTGCAGACACATTACATATTTTAACATTTAATTTCAGAAACCTTTTCATTTTACTTGAAACCCTAATGCCTTTAGTGATCCACTGTAATGTATTTTATTAGGATGTATTTTTCTCGTTTTTTTCTTATAACAAGTTTTGAAAGTGTAACTTAATTTATTGAGAAAAGAATTTATTCCTAAATTATGCCAATTTATTTTGCTAATTTGCTTTCTAAATTCTGCTGAATTGTGGTCACTTAAAACTCTTCGACTAATTTTTATACTTTCATTCATGTTACGACTCTTTTTATTTTCCAATTCTACTGTACAAAATAAACCAGCGTGACCGTCTGCGAGACCATTATGCTCTACTCTACTGTCAATATTTGTTGTATCTATATTAGTAATTACATTGTCAAGACAAGATGTTACATCATTTCGCAAAAAGGTTGCTGAGTCAATTAAATATTTGAAATTATAAAAAGTCAACAAGTTCAAAAATTCATTTTTTTTTGTTTATCATTGTTGAATAAATTAATGTTGAAGTCACCGCACAATATAAATTTCTTATTAAAAAATGTTCAGAAAATCGCTCTAATCTTTCCATAAAAAGATCAAAATTTTTCTGTATAGGATTTCGATAGCAACAGCAAACATAAATATGTGAGTTTATGTCTTTAACACCACAAATTTCAAAATGTTCAGATTTGATTAAAACTACTTTTACGGATTTTATCGCGTTTATTTTTACTTTTTATTTACTCTTATTTTTAATTCCCAACGTTTCGGGCGCTTTCCAGCACCCATGGTCACGGGGGAGTCAAGGAGCACCGCCTTCTGCATTTGAGCCCGGAGCGGTCCGTCACAGAGTCCCAGTCGCCTCAGATGACCAAAGAGGCTAACTGGGATTAGCCCATTCGCAGAGACGACTACAGGAATAATTTCGGCCGGCAGACCACCCCACATGTCTGTCACCTCGTGAGACAGGTCCAGATATTTTGATTGCTTGTCTGTTTCGGCTCTCACGAGGTTCTTGTCATACGGGATGGTAATATCGACCAAAAATATCCTTGACTGTGCCCGGTCCATCAACACAATATCAGGCTTATTAGCAAGAATAGTCCTGTCTGTGATGATGGCCCGGTCCCAATAGAGCCTGGCGCGGTCATTTTCGAGCACGGCTTCCGGCAAGTACTTGTAATACGGCAATTTCCGGTTCACGAGACCGTATTTCATTTATTATTATTATTATGGGGTATCTATATAGTTTTCTCATCTGGTTGGGTTCTATAAATATATAATTATAAATGAAAATGAAAAAATAAATATACATAAATATCAATAACATAAAATAAATATAAAAATACATAAATAAATAAAAGCCCAACCAGATGGAGAACCCTCGGCAGGGGACACCAAACGGCCGAGTGTTAGGGGGAAAGGAAAAGAAACCGGCGGACGATGCGAGCGGTATCGAGGAGCACCGCCTTCTGCATTTGAGCCTGGAACGGTCCGCCACGTAGTCCCAGCCGCCTCGGATGACCCGAGAGGCTGACTGGGATTACACCGTTTGCAGAGACGACTACAGGAATAATTTCGGTCGGCAGACCACCCCGCATGTCGGTCACCTCGTGAGCCAGGTCCAGATATTTTGTTCGTTTATCTGTTTCGGCTTTCACGAGGTTCTCGTCATACGGAATGGTAATGTCGACCAAAAATATCCTTGACTGTGCCCGGTCCATCAGCACAATATCAGGCTTATTCGCAAGAATAGTCCTGTCTGTGATGATGGCCCGGTCCCAATAGAGCCTGGCGCGATCATTTTCGAGCACGGCTTCCGGCAAGTACTTGTAGTAAGGCAATTTCCGGTCCACGAGACCGTATTTCAGAGCGAGCTCCTGGTGTAGAATTCTGGCTACTAGGTTGTGCCTGTGCAAGTACTCAGAGTTAGAAAGCGCCGAACAACCGGAGATAACATGCCTAAGTGACTCACCGGGATGGCGACAAGCTCGACAGATGTCGACGGTGCCATCCTTTAGGATGTATCTCCGATAGTTGTTGGTCTTAATAACCTGATCCTGTATTGCACAGACAAAACCCTCGGTTTCCCCCGAAGAGATCACCAAAGCGTAGCTAGTGGAGGGAGGCTACTGTGTCTACGAAAGGCTCATGTAGAGCCTTGTAGAACCTCCCGTAGAGCTCCTTCTCCTTCCATACGGTCTCTCGGTCGGAAATGCTCTGCACTGCCGGGTCTTGCCATTGCTCGTTGGCTAAGGATAGAGGGGTAAGTCCTTTATCACAAGAAATGACGTCCATATAGAATGGATCATCCGATCTCGCCAGGAAGTAATCACGGAGGCTGCAAACTTCGCGATTATGCATGGTGACCGCGCTCAAGAAGCCACGACCACCATGCTTCCGCGACAAGTACAACCTCATTACCGACGATCGCGGATGATGCATCCTATGGGACGTCATGGACGTCATTATTATTATTATTATGTGTGGGGTATCTATATAGTTTTCTCATCTGGTTGGGTTCTATAAATATATAATTATAAATGAAAATGAAAAGATAAATATACATAAATATCAATAACATAAAATAAATATAAAAGTACATAAATAAGTAAAAGCCCAACCAGATGGAGGCCCTCGGCAGGGGAGACCAAACGGCCGAGGGTTAGGGGGAAAGGGAAAGAAACCGGCGGACGATGCGGGCGGTATCGAGGAGCACCGTATTCTGCATTTGAGCCTGGAGCGGTCCGCCACGTAGTCCCAGCCGCCTCAGATGACCCGAGAGGCTGACTGGGATTAGCCCGTTTGCAGAGACGACTACAGGAATAATTTCGGTCGGCAGACCACCCCACATGTCGGTCACCTCGTGAGCCAGGTCCAGATATTTTGTTTGCTTGTCTGTTTCGGCTTTCACGAGGTTCTCGTCATACGGAATGGTAATGTCGACCAAAAATATCCTTGACTGTGCCCGGTCCATCAGCACAATATCAGGCTTATTCGCAAGAATAGTCCTGTCTGTGATGATGGCCCGGTCCCAATAGAGCCTGGCGCGATCATTTTCGAGCACGGCTTCCGGCAAGTACTTGTAATACGGCAATTTCCGATCCACGAGACCGTATTTCAGAGCGAGCTCCTGGTGTAGAATTCTGGCTACTAGGTTGTGACTGTGCAAGTACTCAGAGTTAGAAAGCGACGAACAACCGGAGATGACATGCCTAAGTGACTCACCGGGATGGCGACAAGCTCGACAGATGTCGACGGTGCCATCCTTTAGGATGTATCTCCGATAGTTGTTGGTCTTAATAACCTGATCCTGTATTGCACAGACAAAACCCTCGGTTTCCCCGAAGAGGTCACCAAAGCGTAGCCAGTGGAGAGAGGCTACTGTGTCTACGAAAGGCTCATGTAGAGCCTTGTAGAACCTCCCGTGGAGCTCCTTCTCCTTCCATACGGTCTCCCGGTCGGAAATGCTCTGCACTGCCGGGTCTTGCCATTGCTCGTTGGCTAAGGATAGAGGGGTAAGTCCTTTATCACAAGAAATGACGTCCTTATAGAATGGATCATCCGATCTCGCAAGGAAGTAATCACGGAGGCTGCACACTTCGCGATTATGCATGGTGAGCGCGCTCAAGAAGCCACGGCTACCATGCTTTCGCGGCAAGTACAGCCTCATTACCGACGATCTCGCATGATGCATCCTGTGGGACGTCATGGTAGTGCGGACTTTTCTATCCAGGGCGTTAAGTTCAGTCTGAATCCACCTGAGTATACCAAAGGTATACATGAGGACAGGCATGACCCAGCCGTTATATTCGTGTGCCTCATTCACACCGGACAAAAGGCTGTTAAGCACTTTGGTCAAGCGTGCATAAAACACGTCGCAAACTGACTGTTTCACTCATGATCCAATGTCTGTACATACCCAGGTATCGGTATGTTTCAGCCTCGGAAAGGGCCCTTAAGTTGACGGGCATAGATAAGTCTATGCCCTCAGAGTTAGCAACCCTTCCCCTTTCAACATGGAGGACCGCACACTTATCCGTCCCCAGCTCCATTCTAATGGAACTGCTAAATTCACGAGTGATGTTTAGCAATTCCATAAGATGGGAGCGACTGGAGGCGAATAATTTGAAGTCATCCATATAGAAAAGGTGGGTCACTTTTGTACCTCCTTTCCGAAGCTGAAATCCCTTCCCGGAGCCCTCCAGTAAGGTACTGAGAGGGTTCAAAGAGAGGCAGAACCAGATTGGACTCAGACAGTCGCCCTGGAAGATACCCCTTCTTATCCTTATGCGGCTTTCCGCAGCCGTCATCCGCTCGCCTAGATGACAAAGGATCGTACTCCACTGCCCCATACACTGCTCGAGGAAGTCTCGAACTGTACAGTCTATTTTGTACAGCTCGAGGACCCTCTTTAGCCATGTATGGGGCACCGAGTCAAATGCCTTTCTGTAATCTATCCAGGCGGCGGAGAAGTTCCGACGGTTGCGTTTCACCACTTTGCCAATGACCGCGTCAATGAGGAGTGGTTCCTTGGTTCCACGACCGCCGCCCCGACATCCATTTTGAGCGCGCGACATCACCTGATTTGAGTCCAGGTGACGAGCGATTCTCGCGCTCAAAATGGATGTTAGTGTCTTGTATATGGTCGGTAGACACGTGATGGGGCGGTATTTGCTCGGGTCTGTGGCACCCTGGTCTTTAGGAACCAAATGGGTGATCCCAGTAGTGAAGAGGCTCGGGAGCGACTTCTGGTTGAGAGCCTCTTGAAACTGTCGGGCGAGCACAGAGTGACACACCACGAACCCCTTCAGCCAGTAGTGATGCAGCCCGTCGAGCCCCGGACTTTTCCAGTTCGGGGCCCTACGGACCGCCTCAGCTACGTCATCCGGCGTTATGGTGACGGGGTCCATGGGCGTAATACTCGCACACTGACTCGCCACAACTTCCGTCCAAGGGCCCTCGTTGTGGTTTACGGGCTCTGACCACAGGCTGCGCCAGAATGCGACCATATCGGCCTGATTCGGTACTGGGCCCGTTCCACTTACTATTGGTCGCTCCAATGATTTATAGAGCCTCTTCTGATCACTCTGGAAGAGACGATTCTGGTTGAACCGTGTCGACCTCTCGGTATATCGCCGAATCCGCTTTCCCCAAGCAGCGATTCTTTGCTTCAGGTCGTCTATGCGCTCCGTCAGTTTTTGCATTATATCCGGCTGGGACAAACTAACATTTGTCCCAGCAAACGCCATCCTGACGGTGCGCACAATCCTTGGCCTGGTATTGCCTGACCTGAAGCATATCAGTCTGCCGATGAGAGCCCTAGCCTTTGCGATACGTTCTTCAATTCTTGTTCTCCAGGCTGGGATAGCACTACTTTGTCCAGTAGCGCGTCCAGCCGTGGAAAGTTTGGCGCCTATAATACGGCAGACTGCCAGTGCGGCGCCAAAGAGAATTGAGTCCGTCTCGCAAAGGTCCCGGCTGGCTTCCAAATAGGTAACCAGCATTGGGTTCAGAGCCCTCACGACAGCCCGATTCCGCTTGCTTAGGGCTAAGCGGGGAAGTCGCGGTCGATTTTCGAGAGGCGTACTGCGCGTTTCCACAATCGCCTCTTCCAATGTACTCCTCATTTGCTCTAGTTCCAGTTCCTGGGCGACTGTTCCATCATCATTTGAATCAGCCACCACTGGGGTATTCTCGGCGGCATCCACATATGCGGTTTGCTCAGCAAGTTGTGGCGCCGCACCCTCAGCCGCAGCGTTTTCATCCGATGAGGGAACAGCCTCACGTCGTAGCCGTTCGAGTTCGGCGCCATCAAATGTATTTGAGCGCAAGATATACCGAACTCGGTCTGCCAGGTTTTGCTCGGTGACAGTAACAGATGGCTCCAGCTCAGCAAAAAGTCGATGCATCCTTGCCCGATACGCGAAACCTCCAGTTTCTCCCCCTTTCGCCCTAAAATACGCCCGCAATGCGTTTGAATTCATCTGGGTTGTCCATCGCATGCGGCGTACTCCACCAGTGGCGGGTGCCGATTGCTGGGCCCGCGAAGACCCTGCCGACACCAAGCAAGCTGGTGGGGATGATGGATGCGAGGGTCTGCTGGGTGGTCGTGCAGCACCTCGCGCTCGGCTGGCGGTTCGCATGCTGTCGCGTCCAGCGCCAGCTCCAGACGGGCCCTGGCGACCTCCAGGCAGCGGCCCTTTGCGCAATGTTCCATATCTACAGGGCGTAAGAGGCGGGCTTGATATTTGCCGAGCAGGCACCACACCCCATACATCACAAATCATCATTATAACCTGAGTTAAAATAAGATTAAAAACCAAAGAAAACTTTAAGCGGCCAAAACACAACTCGTACCAAATAAAAAAGAGATCATTTCCTAGGTTAGAATTAAATGCTGCTCATTTATTGTATAAAGGAGACGGTCCATTTCAGGTCAGTCTATGTACACTATACCGTAAAAAAAGCGAATTTTCAGGGATTTTACTAACCGACTTCGGACTGCATATCATTAGCATATAAAGAAAGACCTTTAAGAAAAAGTAAAATATTTCTTACATACTGTTAACTTTCTTTTTTATTTTTTAATTAACTGTCTGTGTGAAGAGATTCGCAATATGGCAGGATTGAAAGATGACCTTATCACAAAAATTGATAGGGGCGTACTCCGATGGTTTGGGCACGTTGAGCGAATGAGTGAGGACCGAATGGTGAAGAAAATATATAGCGCGAAAGTAAATATTAAAAGGTGTCGAGGTAGACCGAGACTAACTTTCGAAGACCATGTGAGCAAATTACTCGAAGAGGGGAAGGTCAAGAGTACTCGGATACCTAGACGTGCATGTATGAAGAAGTTAATGAACATGAAAGAAGCGAAAGAGGTATGCAAGGATCGTGACACTTGGCGATCTGTTCTCTCTGGCTACCCCGTTAGGGATTTTGCGTGAAGCTAAGTAAGTAAGTAAGTAAGTACAAACTGTTTCATGGTTTAAAAAATACTTTTTTGTAGAAGCAAGAGAAAGAAAGAAACAACAATCTATTATTCAAATAAATAATTGATTAAGAATTAAAATGGAAGTAATACTAATTAAGAAATAAAATAATAACAAGAAAGACGATAAAAATAATAACTTGCCGTGTAGTGGCTGTTAACAATATTCACTACAGCATATCTTCCCACTGGTGTAGTTAGAGGCGACAGAGGGTAGCGGGCGAGAGATGGGCAGCAGCATCTTCCTGATAACAGCAATAGTAAAGTACAATACTGCAGTTGCCAACCCGCTCGCCAAGCGTAGCAATTATGGCAATATACCTCCATTAGCAACGACATAAATAAATGAACCTAGTCCCCGGCGGACCCACTATTCCTGGTTACGATGGCAACCATGGTAATGGCGGATCAGATGGTGCGAAGAATCTCCGATGAAGGTTCGGTTACCAGTAAAGACGACTCAACCTGGCAACATAAAACGCACGGGCACTGAGGACTGATTTGAAGATTCTTTAGCTGGAAGAAGAGATAGACAATTTGCACTGAGATATTATAGGATAATTTAAGGTTCGAAGAGATGGGGACGATACGGTTATCTTCGAATCCGACAACTTATTCTATCACCGGAAGGGCGACCATCTGTCGCAAGGAGGTGTCGGATTTATCGTCCACAAATCTTTCGTTAACAAAAGTAAATACTGTGAGTGTGTTGACAAGAGTTGTGTATCTTATACTCAGAATCATCAAACGTTATTCGATGAAACTCATACAGGTTTACGCACCAACCTTGGCACATACCGATGAGCAGGCGAACGAAATATATGAGGATATCTCTAAAGCCATGCATTCCTCAAAACGGTGTTAATGGGAGACTTTAACGGAAAACTAGGCACAAAACAGAACGGTGAGCTGAAGGTAGGAAAATTCGGAACAGGGCAACGTAACACAAGGGGCCACAAGCTGGAAAAGAGGGAATCTTTATGATGAATTATGACGACTCCATAGCAAGTGATGATGTTTGATGTCATGTCTCAGTGATCGCGAGGGTAAAAACTGGCAGCAACCACCGAATGGTTAGAGGCACACTGAAACTAATCGTTTAGTTGTAGAAGTCATATCAAATGAAGTCAACGCTTCATTTTCCTCATACCATAAACCAAAGTCCCAAAACCTTTCAGTTCGAGTTAAAAAATCCGTTTTCAGTGCTTAGAAGAATGCAATGCATTGGACGACATAAATTAAAATCTTGTAGAAACTGTCCATGTGGTCGGAGATAAGTTACGCAAGACCCGCCGCAGAAGAACACAATACTCCGATCACACTCTTAATCTCATGGCTGTAAGATGGGAAATGAAGCTGCAGTCTTCAGCAGACTTGATAGCATACAGGCAACTGAACAGACATATTTTCAAATACATGCGGTGGGACTGACGCAACTTCAACACAGCTCTTATTGAATAAGGGATCGAGCAGAACCAAAGTTCCGAAGTCTTTGCCAGAGATCTCTCTGCTAAAAAAGCCGACTACAAGCTGAAGACCGTCTGTGGCAGCAGCGTATTGAAATTTTTAGTGAGATTGAGAGGTTCTACAGGCACCTTTACAGGTCATCGTTGGAGCCATACGCAAGTGTGAATAACGATCCAAGAGCAAGTCTTATCCGACATTAGACTTCTGGGAGGCTGGAAATTGTCAAGTCTGAGCGGCAAGGCCCCAGGCGAGGATAGAATTACATCGGAGCTTCGGAAAGCGAGTGAAAAACCGGGACTTGAGGTCCTTCAGAAGCTCTTTAATTTCGCCCTCCATGGTGGAACTTCTCCAGTGGCGTGGAGTAGAAAGACGGTATTCTTGTTCTTCAAGAAAGACGATAACAACTAAAGGCCAACTTCCCTTCTGCGCCGCGTCTACGTGCTGTTTTCAAGAGTCATTACGCATCGTCTCGCAAGCAGACTCGACGACTACCAGCCTCCCTAACAAGATTTAGGAGTACAATCTGCACTTTGCCTTGCGTATGTGGACTATGAATATCATAGGAAAGCCTTTGATTTCGTCGAAGTTTTGGCGGTGTTGAAGTACCTTCAGCGGTGCCAATTTGACTAGCAGTATATAGAAGTGCTGAAGTGTTTGTACACTAATATTACGATAGCTATACGGATACAGAACCAGAGTACGAAACCTATTCAACTGCAGAGAAGTGTAAAACAGGGTGTAATGTTTTACCCCCGAAACTCTTTACCGCTGCATTGGAAGACTTTTTCAAGCTATTGGACTAGAAATAATACGGTACTAACGTCAATGGCGGGTACATCACTCACCTTCGATTTGTCGACGATATAGTCGTTGTGGCAGAATCGCTAGAGGACTTAAGCACTATGTTCAATGACCTCAATAGTTTCTCCGAACGGATAGGTCTTAAGATGAACATACATAATGTCATGGCATGTATAATGTCCATGACACACGTATGCCGGTAGTTGTTGGGAGCACTTATCTCGAAGTTGTTGACTATTATGTTACCTGGAACAAATAGTCCGACTAGGTAAGTTCAACTGTGAATTCAACTCGGCTGGGCAGCGTATGTGAAGTTACGACACATCTTCTCATCAGGTATACATCAAAACCTGTAAGCGATATTGTACAACTAGTGCGTGTTACTAGTGATTACTTATGGATCTGAGACGTGGTTTGGCAATAACTTTTTACGTGGAAGAGACATGCCGCCATAATTTGGTTGTCGCGTGAATGGGTCAGTCGACCGGGGGAGGAGCTGCAACATCAATATTATGATGCTATTTCATGACGACATTCTAAGCGGACGTGGTCGGGATGCGAAAACAATAAGCACAAGACCAGCTTATATTAAGGCTTCAATTTAAAAAAAATATAATTTTTATGTATCCAATAATTTCTTATCAGGAAAAAATTAACTTGCAATCATACTTATCAGAATGCAAAAGTTCGATTAAAAGAGAGATTAAACATCAATAACGATTATACATTGTAGTTGGCCTTTTAGCCACACTCGAATACAAAGTAATTGCAGAGGCTTAACGATGTAGTTCTGTGCTGCCTCGGTCTGATTCAAACGAGCTGTTAATAGCTGCGGCGCGCACCTGTCTCGGTAGTCAAGGGTTGAACAGTGAGACAATGGGGGAGGAGTTCACACAGAAGAACTCCTTCGGTAATTGCAATAATTGAGTAATTGTTGGTTTGTTCTCATTTGATTTCTATGTGATTAGCGGGGAGGGAAAAATATCATAAAGATATCTTGTGAAACTTTAGAAGACATAACAGAAGCCATTCGTTCATTACAGCCTATCAAAGTCCACAATAAGCATAGACTTCCACACAGATTGCTTCAGTATGGGATTTTTTGTCACAGCTGCCACGCTTGGCAAGCGTTTCCATAACCGCAGGTTTTTGTTCTAATGAGCGTTAGCAAGACACTGCTGGCCGTTTCTTGGTTTGGTTTCCTCTACCACCTCTTAGTACACCCGTGGGATTATTTATGGGGTAGTAGAAATATTTTTAAACCGGTATAATATTCCACATAATCACCAAACTTCAATACTACGATCATTACCGACCAGGTTAGCCCGAAATTTATTTCTAATAATAAGTTTTTCATTTTCAAATTTATTAGGCAACCTTTACAGTGTTGCATATCTTGCTAATGTTAAACAAATGAGTATAACTTATCATATTTCTTTTATCATGTTTCCTGTAGTATATCCAAATAATAACTCAAATAAAGAAACAAATAATACCAAAATGCGTTTTACGTGACAGTGAAAAAATCCTTCATATGTAATTTACATAAGTTCGTGATTGCATATTTCTTTAAATATAAAATATTTATCCAAGCAATCAGTTGGATTAGACCTGTAATTTTTATGGGACTTAAAACCATTTAAAAGCCGTATTCTTATCTACGTTAAGAACCAATATATAAGTATTATAAGCTAATAGCTAGTGCTTTCTGTTTATCCATAGAGTTCTATAGAGATTTTTGATGTAGAAGTAAATGAGCCGCAGTATACACATATCATCAGATGGACTGTGTGCTCGTTCTCTTATTTTACAAAAAATAGTATGCTCATAGATTGTTGCAACCGTTGCTGCCACGCTTGGCAAGTGTTTTTTATAACCGCAGATTTTTTTCCTTATCAGTTATATTCTGTCGCTTCTTACGACACCCACGGGATGATATGCGTGGATACTCTTACGCCTCCACTATACTCCGAATGTGTACACTGTAACTGTAAATAAAACAAATAAACCTTCCAAAGGTGTTCTCCAAAA